CCTTGCTCCAGTGGATCCCCAACTCACAAGGAAAAAAATCCACAAACTTCTCCAGCGTGAGCCCTACCCGCAGGATGCAATCCTTCCCCATCGGATCGCTCCAGCGCCGGCTTTACCACAGTCTTGGATTCTTAGGGAGTTGTTGCCACTCGCTCTGGTGTGGGTCGTCATATAGACTTTAAATGCGTAAATGCATCTCTACCTGTGACCATGCTTCACAATTGTCCTCGGGCTCAGGCATCTCCTTTAAACAAAACATCTCCCCACTGACGGGGGTCATCCCATGGACTCTAGATGCGTACCGTCCTCAGGCCCAGGCATCTATTCTCAACGACTCAGCTCCGGCACCTCGTCCCGCTCCCTCTCCACTGACCTGGTGTCGATGTGGCCGTTTCTCTCAGATCTCTGATTCTAAAGTTCTCCCTAGAGTGCTCCGGGCACTGCAGTCTGATGAGGCAGCAGTGGGAAAGGTTTTGCTTTACTCCACCAACCCTCCCAGCCTCCGTCAGTTTCTACCACACTACTTCTTTTTTCCCAGATAGTTTAAGCCCATTTTCCCAGGACTGAGCCCTCACTGAGAAAGCATCGTCTGGTAGGACAAGGACACGAAACACCTCACTCCATCAGTTTGAAGTCGCTGTAGTTTCTAGATATCCTGTTTCTTAAACACAAGGATTTGTATCTGCGTGAGCCAAAGATTTCCATGTCACTCAGGAAGCCTGAGAGTAACATTCCCAACGCAATGTTGGTTCATGGAGAGAGACCAGCAGGTCTTTAACATTCCAACAAGTCACAGTAAACACCACAGGTGTACAACAAAGTGTTAACACTGCTTCCCACACACAAATATTTAACACTTCGTTTGCAGGTGAAGCTGAAGGGAAATCAGGGCACGGTAAGCTGGGGAAGTTTTCAGCCAAAGCTGACTGAAAATTAAATGAAAGAGTAAATAATTTAAATAATTTAAAATCTTTGTCCGGAATCAGATTTCTTCACCTGACTCCATGTCCCAGCCGCACGACTCCAGCTGCTCATCCTGTGGAAACTCAACCTCAATGTCATAGATGAAATCTGGGTCGTCCTTCTTCCTCCTGTTCTTTTCGAAGAGCTCATCCATGATGCTCTTCCTTTTGGCTAGTTCAGTGTCATCTAGTTTGTTCATGTCCTCTTCTGGGTCAATGGTCTCCTCCTGCCGAAGCTTTTCCAAGCTCTCAGCCAGGCTCTCTCCTCCCAGATGACCCTTCAGCAGACCATACAGCTTCTTCAGCTGACGCAGTGAGACTCCTTCTAGGTAAGCCTTGTGCCGAGGGTTGTTCTTCAGCTGCTCCGCAGCCAAGCCGCAGTCTAAAGAGAATCACAGAATCATGGAATGGTTTGGGTTGGAAGGGACCTCAAAGGGATCATCCAGTTCCAACCCCCCTGCCATGGGCAGGGACACCCTCCACTGCACCAGGTTGCCCAAAGACCCATCCAACCTGGCCTTGGACACTTCCAGGGATGGGGCAGCCACAGCTTCTCTGGGCAACCTGTTCCAGTGCCGCACCACCCTCTGAGTGAAGAATTTCTTCCTCATATCTAATCTGAATCTCCCCTCTTTCAGTTTAAATCCATTGCCCCTTGTCCTATCACTACACGCCCTTATCCGAAGCCCCTCTCCAGCTTTCCTGTAGGCCCCCTTTAAGTACTGGAAGGCTGCAGTAAGATCACCCGGAGCCTTCTCTTCTCCAGGCTGAACAGCCCCAACTCTCTCAGCCTGTCTCCACAGCAGAGGTGCTCCAGCCCTCGGATCATCTCCGTGGCCTCCTCTGGACCCGCTCCAGCAGCTCCAGAGAAAGCCACCAGGAAGAATTACAGCTGCAAGCATGTCTCATCCCATAAACAGATCCTCTTCTCCCAGACCCTCACAAGTGAGACCTCCAGACTTGGCGGAGCCACTACTCAGGTCAAGATACAGCTCTGGGCTCCTCGGGGGAGACAGCCTTACCCCAAAACAGACAGTCTTACCCCAAAACAACCCCTCTTTGCGCTCCCCGCGTGTCAGTGAGGAGCCACGCAGCAGTTACTACAACGCTGTTACGAACTAGCTGTTCCTCTGGCGGTGCCTGCAGAGGGCTTGGGGAGTGCTACAAGTGACACAGCACACCTGAGAACTCAGAGAAGTTTCTGACGGGCATGACGCGCTGGCGAGTCTTATCCTTGTCGTCATCTTTGTAGATCAAGATGATGGATGGAGGCTGAAAGCAGACGCCACACTTCTTCGCCACATAAGTCATAGGGGCTCTCGCTGCAGGCTGAAGCGTCCTCAGCAACGGCAAAGCTCACTGGAAAACAGGAGAAGACAACAGGGAAGGAAAGCGTGAGTTCTTTTCATCAGGGGTGCCGGGGCGTGGAGCAGTCCCAGCTGCGGGTTTGCATCTTGGTCACCACTTGGGCTTTGAGTCAGGGTTAGGAATCACGCACAAGTTAACGTTTTTGGTCTGCCAGCTAAGTAAAGCTCTGCACGGTCAAATAACACCTGAAAGATTTTTATTATTTTTGTAGTATTTATTCATTTTTAAAGTGAAAAATGTCACGAAATAGTAAATTGATGTATTACAGTTTCTTCACAAACAGCACTTACTGGATGGGTGATGAGGCACTGGCACAGGTTGCCTAGAGAAGCTGTGGCTGCCCCATCCCTGGAAGTGTTCAAGGCCAGGTTGGATGGGGCTTTGGGCAACCTGGTGTAGTGGAGGGTGTCCCTGCCCATGGCAGGGGGGTTGGAACTGGATGGTCTGTGAGGTCCCTTCCAACCCAAACCATTCTGTGATTCTCTGATTCAAACTGAACGGACATGGCTTTTTGAAGGACAATCAGCAGAGTGGGCCTTCATCTCAGAAGTGGCAAAGAAACGCTGAGATGGGAAATACAACCATGAGAAGCCAAGTAAAAGAGGGGAAAAGAGATTTTGTCTCTTCAGGTAATGCGAGCGGAGACCTTTGCAGTCAGGTACGAAACGCTGGTTCCGGCAGCAATGAAACACAAATAATTGTTTTTTTTTTT